TGGTTCACACCAATGCGTTTTTTAGTACTTTTGCAAAAACTACATTTAACATGGTTTCTTTTGGGACATGTTCACATCTATGCTTTTGAGCTGCTGCATTTTTGGAAAAGGTCAGAAACTTCTTTAAATGCAAAAAGCAGCATTTTTGCTACAATAGTGCTCTATGGAGAAGCTGCTAAGCTGCATGTATAGCAGTTTTGCCACGTTTTTGCTTTTTTATTCCGCGCAGCAACAAAAAAAATTTCCCCTTTAACAAAAAAAAAAGAAAGAAATGAAAAAAAAAACGCAGTAAAAACATGGCAAATTGTGGCAAAAATGCGTGTGCAAAAAATGCACTGCAAGACGGACAAAAAGCACAATGCATTGGTGTAAACCAGCATAGGGACTATCAGCTGAAACAGACTAATTTGCTTATTTGCTTCCCCTACTTTAGTCCAAGTCTGAGAGGAGAAGTGAAGGGCATTTATCACTCCACTGAGGACTCAATGGGCTGGCCTGGAGACCAAAACTATAGAATCTCTGTTGGAAAATGCAGCCATTGAATAACTTAACAGACCAACTGCAGAGAATAGTCTCACTATCTCCCTGCAGTCACGTAGATGAAATATGCAGCTGAATGTTTATTTGCCAGCTTCTGTTTGGGGCCTTGAGTTATATAGGGGTGCTTTATCACAGTCACCCCCACTGCCAAGAACTCTGCCTGCCATAGTTGCCAGTGCCTGCTCCAGAGGCCCCCCATATGAAGGACCAGCGAGTGTCTGCTGAAAAAAAAAAACCCTATTTTCCAGTATTTAAACTATTAATTGGATGCAAAAGTTCATTCATACTGTATAAATCCACAGATAATTCATATGTTTCTGTAGTGGGTGTACACCGATCAGCCATAACTTTATGACCACCCACCTAATTTTGAGTAGGTCACCTTTTTGCTACCAAAACAGCCCTGACCCATTAAGGCACAGACCTTTGAAAGTTTGCTGTGGTGTCTGGCACCAAGCCATCAGTAGCAGATCCTTTAACGTGTTACTAAAGTCTTATTTTTTTTAAATAACATGTTATACTTACCTGCTCTGTGTAGTGGTTTGCACAAAGCAGCCCAGATACTCCTCTTCTTGGGTTCCCCACTGGTACTCCTGGTCCCTCCCTTATGTCTCAGGTAACTCAGTGTTAGGGGGTCTGGAGGGGCTGCTACACACAGAATGCATGAAGGTAAAAAACCTGGAGCCTTTAGAACCACTTAAAGTCCTGTACGTTGCAAGGCAGGGCCTTCATTGGATCAGACTTGTTTTTCACACACATCCCACAGGTGCTCAATTGGATTGACATCTGGAGAATTTGGAAGCCAAGTCAACACCTCAAATTCATTGTTGTGTTCCTCAATCCATTCTTGAACTATTTTTGCAGTGTGGAAGGGTACATTAACCTGCTGATAGTGGACACTGCTATCAGGGAATACGATTTCCATGAAGGAATGTACTTGGTCAGCAACAATGTTTAGGTAGATGGTATGTGTCAAATAGCAACCACAGGCATGGCAGTACCCAAGAATTCACAGCGGACCACTGCCCCAAAAAAAAGAAAATCGCCGACTGGCCTTCTTCCCCATAGTGCATCCTGGTGCCATCTCTTCCCCAATTAAGCAAAATACACGCACTTGGCCGTCCACCTAGAAGAAAATGTGATTTATCGGAGGAGGTTACCTTCTTCCATTGCTCTGTGGTCAAGTTCTGATGCTCACTGGTCCATTGTAGGTTACCCTACCGTCCCTGATCATCCTCTTCTGGAGCCACGACAACCACGACAGCCTGTAGTATTATCTCCCCCTTTATATCCACTACAATGAGATCAGACAGTGCCAGGCATTGTACTGACAGACCCCTCGAGACATTGTATCCATTGAAGATCTGACAATCTCAGCCAAACCACTTGTAGAACTTCTCTTCTTCCATTCTTCTCCCTGCCAGCGAGGAGAGCACCAGACAGACGGGGCGAGGAGCCAATCACCGCACAGTGCTTCCTAGGACTGCAAATGCGTGAAGAGGCTTTCTGCTGTCTACAGCAGAGTGTGAAAGGAGCAGAAAGTTGATACATTTGATGCATGAGGTGCGCAGTGTCCATTGTGCGCCTGAGAAAGAGAGAGAGGAGGCTGTGGGCCCAGGGAGTGGAGAGAGCCAGGAGAAGAGAGGAGCCAGGACCTGGAATGTTATCTCCCTGCACACTTGTTGTTGGATATTATTATTATTATACAGGATTTATATGGCGCCAATGGTTTGCTTAGTGCTTTACAATATAACAGGAGACAATACAGCAACAATACAGTTCAATACAAGAGGGTTAGGAGGGCCCTGCTCCTTGGAGCTTACAATCTAAGAGGGACGGGTAAGCAGGAGGTGGGGAGAAGCGGCTGTGTGGGGGAAGAGGGCTGGGGTCACCCACAGGAAGGGGACATGGGCTGTAACCTGGCTAGGGTTAACCCTTCCACTGCCAGAGGGGGGTTTTCCCCACTATGAAGAGCTGGCATCCTAGATTGTAAGCTCCAAGGAGCAGGGCCCTCCTAATCCTCTTGTATTGAACTGTATTGTTGCGGTATTGTCTCCCTTTATATTGTAAAAAGCACTGAGCAAACTGTTGGCGCTATATAAATTCTGTATAATAATAATCTGTATTCCAGCACTGACCTCTTTATATAATGGAATATATTCACCGCTTATCATCATCATCTGAATTTATAATTCCATTTCAGGCATGAAAGGGTTAATTAACCCCTTTTCAACAGGTCATTTCACCAGCTGCATCCAGGTACATTTTTAAATGCAGCATAAATGTGAATGTGTATGCAAGAAAAACATTATTCCAGTGCTGCATTTGTCCACACTGCGAATGTGCATGAAGGCTTGTAAACCTGCAAGCATTCATAGGGGGTGCAAGTAGCTGGCCTTGCCTAGGGTGTAAAATAGTCTAGCATCGGCCTTGCCTACTGGAGTACATGTGCTGAGAGTGAGGGTATTTATAATGGGGGTATTTTGTAGGTCCGGGGTGGGGGGAGGACACTGACAGATGAAACTGCAGGGTGTGTAGAGATTAGTTCATATCAAGAACATACAGGGATCATTCCCTACTACGATACCAAAATGCTTTCCTTTTTATTAGAAATAGTGGAACCAAAATAAAAAAACAGGCACAGGTAAATGGTTTTCACAGCACATTACTAGTTTTTTTTTACCTTGCCTGAGGTTCTCAATTATTATGCGTGTTTTTGGCTTCATAAAAAAAAAATCACCCAATCATGATTTCAGATTGTCCATATCTGTCAAAGAGGTCATTGATCTCTGTTGTTACCTCGAGTAGCAGTATTTATTGAATACACTGTAAAGCCATAATTCACATACTGTATATATTGAGGATATGACTAACTTACTCCAAACTTACTCCTATGATATAACAAGAACTTCACTGAGACAGGATTTTGAGCAGACTTGCTATTCCTTTGTATTACATAGAAACCAGTTGGGGTAGTTTGGTCTTCTAATACATACGTCCCCCAGAGACTCCTGTTGGAGCCGTTCCAGGCTTATTGAAATGGGGGAGACCAGAGGCAGACATCCTATAAGCATCGTATTTCTCATCTGAGCTAGAAACAACTTGGAATTCCTGAAAACAGAGCTTGGTTTCTGTTCCATGGCTGTGCAAAGAATTATCCACTAAGATAAGCGGTCTAAAACTGAATATGAATAATCATTCTTACACGATAGGTATCCAGAGACAGCTCCTTTATTAATATATGAAGTATAGAAAGAGAAGCCATAGCTTGCTCATATGCATTTGAAAATTCACAATAACTAGATAGTGGACTTACACACTTGCAAACCTCAGTGATATATTATACACGCAATGCATATTTCAGTATGTGGTCATATCTTCGGATTTGGCACAGACTTAGCTACTCTAGACAATGTTTCTATGACAACCATATAAAACCTATACGAGCTTAAGATTCAGATGTGTCCTGTATATTACAGTACAACCAGGAACATGCTAGTGAAAACAGATTTGAATACAATTATTAACACTGCAAAATTTATTTTTCATGACAACATATAGGTTGATGTCTGAACTTTATATATTTGAATTTATTCTATTCATTTGTCACATGTGGTTGGTGTGTGGATCAATCAAAATACAGATAGCAAAGGGCTGGAAACTTGCTAATAATAAAGTGTACTGAACATTGAGCTGGTGGGACCCACTCTTCATAGCATCAAGGAAGGATGAACAACTTTAAAGTGGTTATAAACCCTTACATATACCAAATGAAGTGACTGGCCTTAAGTAATACACAGAGATGAAACCATACAATCCTACATAAGTTGTACCTGTATCTGCAGTCTTCTCTTCTCTACTTCCTTTCAAAGTGCTGAATTTACAAAGCTTGTCTGAAAGTTCAGAAAAAAAGCTGAAGTTACACTCTGCAGAGCTCGGTGAGAAGAGCTCTGAGAGCTGATTGGAGGGAACAGACACACACCTCTACACACAGCTCACAAGAACAGAGCTGAGGCTGCCAATCTGCTGGAAGTCCCTGCCCTGTCACCATTTTTCTTTTGGAGTCAGGAAAACTTATCAAAAAGGATTCATGCTGATAGCAGAGGAATGAGGCAGCAGACAGAAATTACATTTAGTATTCTTAATTAAGATAAGTATACATTATAGAGGATATGCTCTGTTCATAATTCATGTCCAAGGTTTAATAAATTTGTGCCAATTAGAACATACAGTGAACCCAGTTGGTCCACTTTACTTAAGAAACAAACAATGAACATTCCATGGTTCTATAACTTTTCTGTGCATTTATTTATTACAGGTATTTATATAGCTCAAACAAATTACACAGAGCTTTACATACACTATATTCCCAAAAGTATTGGGCCCGGCCTCCAAATCATTAGATTCAGATGCTGCAATCACCTCCATGGCCACAGGTGTATAAAATCAAGCCACTAGGCATGCAGACTGCTTCTACAAACATTTGTGAGAGATTGAGTCGCTCTCAGGAGCTCAGTGAATTCAAGCATGGTACCGTGATAGGTTGCCACCTGTGCAATAAGTCCATCTGTGAAGTTTCCTTGCTACTAAATATTCCACGGTCAACTGTTAGTGGTATTATAACAAAGTGGAAGCAACTGGGAACAACAGCAACTCAGCCACCAAGTGGTAGACCACGTAAAATGACAGAGCAGGATCAGCGCATGCTGAAGCGCACAGGGCGCAGAAGTCACCAACTGTCTGCAGAGTCAATAGATAAAGACTTCCAAACTTCATGTGGCCTTCAGATTAGCACAACAACAGTGCATAGAGAGCTTCATGGAATGGGTTTCCATGGCCAAGCAGCTGCATCCAAGCCTTACATCTCCAAGTGCAATGCAAAGCGTCAGATGCAGTGTTGTAAAGCATGCTGCCACTGGACTCTACAGCAGTGGAGATGTGTTCTCTGGAGTGACGAATCAGAACTTCTCTGTCTGGCAATCTGATGGACGTGTCTGGGTTTGGCGGTTGCCAGGAGAACAGAACTTGCCTGACTGCATTGTGCCAAGTGTAAAGTTTGGTGGAGGGGATTATGGTGTGGGGTTCTTTTCAGGGGTTGGGCTTGGCCCCTTAGTTCCAGTGGAGGGAATTCTTAAGGCGTCAGCATATCAAGATATTTCGGACAATGTCATACTCCCAACTTTGTGGGAACGGTTTGGGGATGGCCCCTTCCTGTTCCAACATGAATGCGCACCAGTGCACAAAGCAAGATCCATAAAGACATGGATGAGCGAGTTTGTCGTGGAGAAACTTGACTGGCCTGTACAGAGTCCTGACCTCAACCCAGTAGAACACCTTTGGGATGAATTAGAGCGGAAACTGTGAGCCAGGCCTTCTCCTCCGACATCAGTGCCTGACCTCACAAATGTGTTTTTGGAAGAATGGTCAAACATTCCCATAGACATCCTCCTAAACCTTGTGGACAGCCTTCCCTGAAGAGTTGAAGCTGCTATAACTGCAAAGGGTGGGCCAACTCAATACTGAATCCTGCAGATTAAGACTGGGATGCCATTAAAGTTCATGTGCATGTAAAGGCAGGCGTCCCAATACTTTTGGCAATATAGTGTATACTGTGCTGTTCTACTAATGGTTTGCCAACAGCTAGCTAACAAAGCTGACAGAAGCAGCATTGTGCTTCATTCCAAAACTGAATTTACTTCTGTGAATAGTTCTGTAATACGGCAATACAATCACACACACTGAAGTTACAATATTACACCGTGTACACAATTATTAGGCAAGTGAGTATTTCGACCAAATCATCATTTTTATGCATATCATCCAAATCCAAGCTGTATAAACTTAAAAGCTTATTGGATTTAACCATATCAGATGATCTGTATTTGTGTAATTATTAGGCAGCTTCTTTTCCTCAGACAAAATAGGCCAAAAAACAGATTTAACTGACTCTGAAAAGCCAAAAATTGTAAGTCTTTCAGAGGGATGCAGCACTCTTGAAATTGCTAAGATATTGGGGCATGATCACAAAATCATCAAACATTTTGTTATGGATAGTCAATAGGGTTGCAAGAAACATGTTGAGAAAAAAAAAGATGCAAATTACCTGCCAAAGATTTGAGAAGAATCAAACGTGAAACTACCAGGAGCCCATTATCCTCCATGCTGTTAAGTTCCAGAACTGCAACCTACTTGGAGTACCCACAAGCACAAGGTGTTCAATGCTCAGAGTCAAGGCCAAGGTAATGAAGGTTGAAACCTGATCACCGCTGAACAAGACACATAAGTTGAAATATCAAGACTGGACCAAGAAATATCTGAAGACAGATTTTTTTTTTTTAAAGGTTTTATGGACTGATGAGATGAGAGTGACTCTTGACAGACCAGATGGATGGGCCTATTGCTGGATCAGTAATGGGCACAGAGCTTCACTTTAACTCAGACACCAGCAAGGTGGAGGTGGGGTACTGGTATGGGCTGGTATTATTAAAGATCAGCTGGTTGGACCTTTTCGGGTTGAAGATGGACTCAAAATCATTATTATTTTTATTAAGAATAATAATATACAATATTTATATTGTGCCAACAGTTTGCGCAGCGCTTTACAACATGAGGGCAGACAGTACATTTACAATACAATTCAATACAAGAGGAATCAGAGGGCCCTGCTCATAAGAGCTTACAATCTAAAAGGGGAGGGCCAAGTGATACAAAAATGTAATAACTGTGGGGGATAAGTTGATGGAGAAAATACATGTACAGTTGTCAGGTGGATGCAGGATAGGCTTCTCTGAAGAGAAAAGTTTTCAGGGATTGCCTAACCCCTGGTTCATAGCTGTGCGGGTGGTGCCGCTGCAGATCTGCACAAAAATCCATGCAGCCGCACAGAGGAATGTTCCTGCACTGGAAATCACAACCGTACTGGGAACTGAGGTTCCCGTGTGGGCTACATTTTCCGAAGAAGAGCAGGGACTTCTTTCGTGCATGTCCCGGGGCAGAGGTGTCCATTCAAATGAATGGACGCTCGTGCACATGCAAACCGCGGAGATGTGAACCTAGCCTTAAAGTAGACAGAGTAGGAGGTAGTCAAACAGATTTGGGTATTTCAGATTGGGGGAATTCCATAGGATGGGATAGGCTTGGGAGAAGTCTTGTAGGCGAGCATGGGAAGAGAGCTATTTGGTTTGTATTTTGAGACCAGGTTAGTGATGTAGCTGGGAGCCGAGTTGTGGATGGCTTTGTAAGTTGTTAGTATTTTTAATTTAATTTGTTGGATGAGTGGCAGCCAGTGCAGGGATTGGCAGCGAGGGGTGGCAGACACTGAACGGTTGGTAAGGTGGATGAGCCTGTCAGCAGCATTCATGGTAGACTGGAGGGGGATAGCCTATGTAAAGGTAAGTCAGTGAGGAGGGAGTTGCAGTAGTCGAGGCGAGAGATAACCTGGGAGTGAATTAGGAGTTTTGTGGTGTCAATGGTTAGGAAAGGGCATATTTTGGAGATGTTGCAGAGGTTGCGATGGCAAGTTTTGGAAAGTGATTGGAAGTGGGGCTGAAAGGAGAGTTCAGAGTCCAGCATTACACCTAGCACCCTGGCATGCAGGGACTAGTTGATAATTGTCCCATTGATCTTGACAGAAAAGTCAGGGGAAGAAGCACAAGAGGGAGGAAATATTAGGAGCTTGGTTTCGGATAGATTGAGTTTGAGAAAGTGGTGTGACATCAAGACTGATATATCGGTCAGTAAGTTAGTGATGCGTGAGAAGACTTTGTGAACTGAGGGTTAGAGAGATAGATTTGGGTGTCCTCAGTATAGAAATGATAATGAAAGCCATGGAAGGCTATCAGCTGACCCAGGGAGGAGGTGTAGATCTAGAATAGGAGCGGTGCAAGAACAGAACCTTGGGAGACCCAATGGAGATAGGAAGAGGAGTGGAGGAAGTAGAATTGTAAGTGACAATGAAGGTGTGGTGGGATAGGTAGGATGAGAACCAAGGAAAAGCACAGTCACGGATATCAAAGGAGTAAAGTATTTTGAGAAGGAGGGCGTGGTCAATCGCTTCAAAGGCAGCTGAAAGGTCCAGAAGTAGGATTACACAATAGTGTCCATTGGTTTTTACTGTTAGTAAATCGTTTGTGAGTTTTAGGAGAGCAGTTTCTGTGGAGTGTTGAGAGAAAAATCTAGACTGAAGGAGATCAAGATTATTCCTAATGAAGTGGCTGCTCAGTTGGTTGTAGATCAGGCGTTCAAGGAGTTTGGAGGAAAAGGGGAGCAAGGAAATGGGGAATAGGTTGTTAAGATTGGTGGGGTCCAAGGAAGGCTTTTTAAGTATGGGGGGTGACTAGTGCATGTTTTAGAGAGTTGGGGAATATACCAGAAAAAGAGGGAGAGATTGAAGATGTGAGTTAAAAAGTGCAGCTAGAGATGTGAGTTAGAGAGAGTCAATGGATGACCGCAGTATTTGATAGGGAATAGGGTCCAGGGGACAGGTGGTTAGGTAGGCAACCTTGTCTTGTCTGCAGGGTTGAATAATGGTAGTGTTGAGTGTATCTGTGGACATGGGGTGTTAAGTGGGGGAGTTATTTGTAGAGAGGAGATTTCATTGTACTGATCTTATTTTTGAAGTGATTGCCAATCTCCTGGGCAGTGAGTTAGTGGGTGCAGGCAGTGGAGGAACGAAGTAGACTGTTAACCTCCCTGGCGGTATTCCCGAGTGTAGCTCGGGGTAAAGTTTCAGTACCACAAGGGGTAACCCCAAGCTACACTCGGGCTTACCATGAGGCGCTGCTCAGGGATCTGTTTTTCACTTACCTTGTCCTGCACTTCCGCGATGTCCCTCCTGCAGTGTCCCCGGCAATGTCCTCCGGCGGATGCCGGCATCTGTCGTCTGGGTTCCGTCCCCTGCGAGCGTCGGGACGTACAGGGACGGAACGGCAGGAAATTTGAAAATGACAAAAAGTGAAATTCACTAAATACACTAAAATCACATAGTAAAACATTACTGTATCAAACCATTTCACATACATTTTGTCCCTAGTGCTTTGTCCTGTGCCCTGCCTGCATTTTTACTGTTCTTTCTGCCTGGAAACTGAGAAATGTAAATGGAGTCCAAAAAGTGTCCCTTTAGGTCAAAAGCGATTTTAGACCAGCTAGAGAACAGCGATAGTAAATCAGAACCACTTTCAGAATTGAATGATAATGATTCGTGGGGAAATTCGTCATCAGACACTGAAAACAATTTTGCGACTTTGCTCAGTGATGTGCAAACTTGGCGCTTTATTTCAAATTTCAGTGTTTTTGATTTGATTTTATTATTGAATTACATTTATTATTATATTATTTTTTTATGGTTATTTATTAAATTATAATGTATGATTTCGTGTTTCAAATTGTAACATACCCGGGATGTTTACTAGACTCTTGTTCGGACAGATTTCATTGAGTTATTCCTAAAAATTACAGGCCTATAATAAAAAAATACATATTTCCATGCAAAAAAATGTACCGCTTTGAGCACAGAAATATGGACATAATCAGACCGCTAGGGAGGTTAAAGGTAGAAAAGAGTTGACGGGGACCGGATGTGAAAATGTTAATGAGAGCAATAAAATAAGGCTGCTTGGCAGTGTGGAAGCAAGAATTTAGTTTTTTGAGGGCAGTTTTATATTGGCTGAAGTCTTTGTGATACATAGTCTTACGCCACAGACACTCAAGAGCGCAGCTGTGTTTTTTTAGACTTATGGTATCGTCTGTTTGCCAGGGTTGTGAGTGTTGGGGCCTGATTCTGTGTGTAGTGAGAGGGGCGAGCTCGTCCAGAGGACAGGGATCTATTGTAGACAGAAGTGGC